TTTTCTCTTTTGAAGGGATAATGTTTTCACTAGCGAGCTTGTATCATCCAAATAATATCATAGTAAAGCCATGTGGTGAGTATAGGATGCTGTTAGGGTTGTAAGAGGTGAGTGTAAATCTAAATTATCAAATGAGTAAATTTATATAGGTTGCAAGTAAGGACTATTATGATAAATAAAAAAAAGTAGGCTCTTTGGATTCCGTAATAGTCAAATGTAATTGACACTTAAATAAAAACTACAATTAAAAATGTAACTCTCATTTCAAGTATGCATGAATGCATGAACTAATGGCATTTTAAGTTAACACTTTGTTTGCGGCTAAATACCCATATTGGTATTTTAATTCTATTCAATTTATCAAGAATGTATTTTAATTAGGAAAATTTGCTTTAAAGCATTTTAATTGATTCAACTTACTAACAAGGCCTTTTATCTCGTTGGCGGCCAGTTTTTCGGTGAGAGCTCGTCACGTGCGTGGCACGTGATGACTTAAACTGTTTTTTAGCAGCTGATGTGGCACGGATTTTCTGACGTGGTAGTGTTTAAGGCGGGAATTAACCCTCTAAAAATCCCAATTCACCCAAAATAGGACAGATCCGTGTCACATCAGTAGCTAAAAAACAATTTAAGTCATCATGTGCCACGCACGTGACGAGCTCTCGTCGAAAAACTGGTCACCGACGAGAAAAATGGCATTGTTGGTAAGTTGAATCAATTAAAATGCCTTAAAGCAGGTTTACCTAATTAAAATACATTCTTGGTAAATGTGGTGGAATTAAAATACCAATATGGGTATTTAGCCCTTTGTTTGCCAATTGAAACGTATATTATTAGTTTGTCATATGTGCGTTTTAAGTAGAGGGGTTACAAAAAATAGAAGTTAATATTAGTGGACAATTAATAGGAGAGTTATGCCATTATTAAGAGTGTATGCATGTAAGCATTTTAAGTTGACACTTTGTTTGCAAATGTAATTTTTAAATAAATAAAAAAAAGCAGGCTCTTTGGATTCCGTAACAGTCAAATGTAATTGCCACTTAAATAAAAACAAAAATTGAAAATATAACTCTTATTTCAAGTATGCATGAATGCATGAACTAATGACATTTTAAGTCGACACTTTGTTTGCAAATTGAAACGTATATTATTAGTTTGTCATATGTGTGTGCATTCAATTCTCAACTATTATGTCAAATACGACTTACAATCTTAAATTTTTTAATGATAACATTAATATTGGATTAGTGGAAGGGTTACAAAAAATAGAAGTTAATATTAGTGAACAATTAATAGGAGAGTTATGCCATTATTAAGAATGTATGCATGTAAGCATTTTGAGAGTTATGCCATTATTAAGAATGTATGCATGTAAGCATTTTAAGTTGACACTTTGTTTGCAAATTGAAACGTATATTATAAGAATGTATGCATGTAAGCATTTTAAGTTGACACTTTGTTTGCAAATTGAAACGTATATTATTAGTTTATCATATGTGTGTGCATTCAATTCTCAGCTATTATGTCAAATACAACTTACAATCTTAACTTTTTTTATGATAATATTAATATTGGATTAGTGAAAGAGTTACAAAAAATAGAAGTTAATATTAGTGAACAATTATAGGAGAGTTATGCCATTATTAAGAATGTATGCATGTATATGTATGTGTTTATATGTATGCAAATTTTTTATGATAACATTTATTGGAGTAGTGGAGGAGTTACAAAAAATAAAAGTTAATATTAGTGGACAATTAATAGGAGAGTTATGTCATTATTAAGAATGTATGCATGTATATGTATGTGTTTATATGTATGCAAGTATATGTTTTATGGATGCATATATGTGGTTTGGAGGGCATTTTTGAAAGAAATATTTTAACATATCAACACACTTTTATAATAGTATTAGATTTATGATTCGTGGGGATGAGCTGTCGAATTCATCCTTCTCAAAATATCAACTGCACCATCGCTGAAAATACTAATAAAAGAGTCGATGATAAGTGATGCAAAAAATATACACGAGGGGTTTTAGTAGCTTGCCCTCTTTTTTTCTTTTTTCATAGATTAGAAGAAGTTGCGCAATGAAGGGAACATATCTATGATCATATAGCCTTTTTTTAAGGAATTTGTTTAGGGGATAGAAATTAGGTTGTCAACTTCTTAAAAAAAAAAAAACCAGGTTGCTACCATACAAGATTCGGTCAAAATGACGGAAAAGGTGAATGAAATGATAGATTAGTTTTGCATAGTAGTAGGCCTGCAAAGCGCAAGGATCTTTCTTTTCCATGTCTTCACTTGTTGACTCTTTTCTCTCTTTTATTTAAAACATGTATTAATTATATGTATTTTTCTTATGTTTAAAAGCTCAAATTTTTTATTTATCTTCTCATATAAATGTAAAACATTTTACAAGGTGCGGAATCTATACATATCTCTTATAGATTCACAATATGCTCCATCAAGATCTTTTGTGATGCCCCAAGTGTGAATAGTCTCATATCGGGAAATGAGTGAAAATTTTAGTGGTTTAAATAAGTAAGCCTAAGACACAAGTGTAACATTGGCTAATCGATTTTGTCATTGATCTAAACAACGCTTTATACTCGGTGAGTCCAATGACATGTAATTAGAGAATC